ATGACAATCCTTATTTTAGAGGGGAGTTTCAGTGGTTTTTACTTTCTAGTGAATTTTTCGTATGCAGAAATTTTTTACTGCAATATTTGCAAATGCGCAGGAGAATCCAAAGTGCCGGGAGAAATTCTTATATTCAGATTCTGTCGTCTTCACCTAAAACCACAATATTTACATTCCGATGGTTTCTCTCTTGTATGAAGGCAGAAAGGCAGTCAAGGTCTCACAAGTCACAACTACTACCTGTATTCTTTACGTTGAGTACAACAACTTTCAGTGTTCAAATATAGTTTTGTAAACCTAAACGTGAGGAATAACTAAGTAATTAAGCCGAAAGAATCCGGAGCGTTTCGCACTCTCATGCTGAAATTTATTTTTTTAGGTTTTAAATCTTAATTTACAGCAATTCACAGTTTCCCTAATTTTCTATGATTTGGTGATTTGAACCTAACATAATGGCCGTACTCATGGGGTATATAAATATTATAAATAAAAACTTAAAGGAACATTCGCAAACACTCCCTTTTATAGGAACATTTACCCTTAATTGTAACCTTAAAGGAACATTGACCCTTAATTGTAACCTTAAAAGCTATGTATTATCAATATCCATGTTTTTTTATTATTTGGGGTTTCTCTGCAATATTGACTTGTGAATCGGACATGTCCCTTTTTTAATGTAAGGTCACTAAACATTTATTGCGACCGTTTTTAATTAAAGGGATTGTGCAACATTTTTAATTAAAGGGATTGTACAACATTTTTAATTAAAGGGATTGTACAACATTTTTAATTAAAGGGATTGTACAACATTTTTATATAGGATCCTTCCTTTAAACAATGCAATTACGCTCGATTCACAGTGGTACCTTTAAACCTCTATCTGAGTAACAAAGAGGAAATTTTCTTCGCGTTGTTTTCAAATTCTAACTTTTCCTATTATGTCTCTTCAAATCATTTAATTATAGAGTAACCACAGTTAAAAATAATCAATTTTAAGTGGGATAATCAAGGAAATCTCATTCGTCCTTGATCAAAAAAAGGTTTAAATGATACAGTATTGAATCGGACCCGTCGCTTTAAATGAGTCCAAGAGCTAAAATTAAATTATGAAAAATCATTTATTTCAATTGACAGGGCCGGAGAGCAGCAGAAATGTTCAAAGAACCATCGCCTGCGCTGGAAGGGTCAGCCCTTAGTTCCAGGTATAGATCACCGGAGGGGGGAGGGGGTTGATCCCTCAATTCCAGGTATAAATAAGCGGAGGGGGGAGTGAAGGGGGG